CCCCAAAACCCCAAAACCCCTCATGAACTTAATTTCCTATGAAATATATGAACCACATTAATATAATTTTAATTTTTCTCATCTCAATATCAAGTTAATATCTCGAAATCTATCAAAAGTATTAATAAACTTGCTTTTTTGTTTTTTCAAACTCTAATTTTTGGGTGGTCAGAGAATTTGACGTATTTATTGTACTAAGATTGCTTGATCTTCAAAAGCTTAGCTTGATTCAACACTTTTGCTGAAAAATCAGGTCTATATTCATTCTCTTAAAGTGCTTTAAGTCCCAGATAATCGTAAGAACTAAGCTTAATAAAGAATCCTTCAGATCCTGAGCAAACGAGAACATCACCTTGAAGAATTAGATAAAAATCACTTGCAGGGACACCTCTAACATATAATATTGGATCTATATTCTCCTTAAGCTTTTGTCTCAGTTCAACTGATCCCATTAAACTATCATTCACTCTATAGTATTCCTCGTATACATAATCTTCTATGGTATTTAAATTTTCAACATCCCTTTAATTCAAAAATAGCTTTGATTCAGTATATAAGGTGTCATCTTATTACTACTACTACCTCATTTGATCATCAAGCTCGATTTCCTCTGCGTTATTCTCGAATATAGTTTAAGATTCTGCTTTGAAAGATGATGATCCTCCTTATTTCTTCCTTTAATCTTCTTCTCCTTTTGTTATTTCCATGTTTTACAAATGCTTATCGAATTGAATTTAATCACTGTTTTAGTACTCATTCAGGTATGTCAATTAATTTCTGGTGAAGTTATTAGATTCATTCACAATGTGGGAAAAAGGGACAGCATCACTTTCAATATCTATTATATCACAATTGCTAATCAAATGGTATAGCTGATCTTTCTCAATCATGGATGTGTGAAAACTATCTACTTTTAAATGAAGAAATTCACAAATCGCTAAAATTTCGGCTTCATTAAGTTGATTTTTAGCTTTGTGATTCGTGAAGAGATAAATAAGCTTGTTTTTAAGTAATTTTCTTTCACCCTTAAGATTTTATGTTTCTCTCTCATCTTCAATTTCTTCTTGAAGAATTTCTTCAACAATATCCTCTAATGTAATGATTCCAATGTTCATTATACTCAATTCACTTCCGATTACTTTATGTTTTCTAGTTACTAATCCCATGTGGGTGCTATTACCTTTAAAGTAACTCAGGACTGGTTCAAGCTTTGTTTCAACATCAATTGCTATTATATCTCTTAGCAAAATGCTAGAGAGCTGCTTAATCGTGACTATAGAGTTTTCAAGATTTATCAGCACCAAATCCCTAGTCATTAGTAAACCCACAATATTTTCTCGCTACCCATCATAAACAGGTATTCTTGAATAGCCCTCACTGTAAATTTACTTAAGCAAAAGTTGATTGAGATTAACATTAATATCTATCATAAAGGCCTTGTCAATTGGAGTCATAACTTAGCCAATCACTTTTGATTTAAGTTCTAAAACAGCAGAGAGTATCTTTCTCTCCTAAGGCTTCAATAACTTAGACTTTTCATACTGCTCAAACATTCTTTTCATTTAATGTTTGCTTAGCACATTTCCAGCTTCTTCACCAAGAATTTTATCGAGGATAGCTCCTATTGGATAACAGAAAAGAAATGTGGCATAGTAGAAGAAGTGTGCAGGCCATCTTAAAAAACTACTGATCTGTAAACTGTACTTGTTTGCAAATGTTTGAGGTATAATTTCTCCAAAGACGGTAATAATTGAAGTTGACAATAGAAAACCTTTAATATCTCCCTCAATATCAGCCATAAGTACAGATATTACTGCATTAGATGCAGCAGTTCCTAAAAGAATCATAGTAAGTAATGAATTTCCTTTTCTTCTAAGGGTATAAATTTTTTTTGCATATTGTGCATTTTATTCATCATCTTTACTCTCAAATGGACCTTGAGTCATAAGCTCAAGATATCTGGGATCTAGTCCCATTAGTCCAATATTGAGTGCATTGAACATTGCTGAGAGTAGTTAAAGAATTATGATAATCAAGTAAATGTACCAGGGTATTTCCATATATTATAATTAATGTTAAACACTTCTATTAAATCTTTTAGTTATTGATATAAAATATCTATTCTCACCTATTATTTTTCTTTAACTATCTTCTTCTAACCTTATGATTTTTATTCATGGGGTTTTGGGGTTTTGGGGTTTTGGGGTTTTGGGGTTTTGGGG